GGGAGAATCAAGAGCATGTACCATCATCCTTCGATAAATTTCTAACGTCATTCAGGACTACCGCTGCATCAATTAGCCCTTTGTTGTTAACCGTTTATTGTACCGATTATTGTTAACGTTTGTTGTTAACCGTTTGTTGTTAACCGTTTGTTGTTAACCGTTTGTTGTTAACCGTTTGTTGTTAACCGTTTGTTGTTAACCGTTTGTTGTTAACCGTTTGTTGTTAACCGTTTTGTTGAAATATCCCGGTTACTGAGATAATAATGAGGCTGGGATCACGTGCATACATATATATACCTGTTCACCAGCCTACTTGTATATTAGATAACATGCAACACAACACACAATCAACTCCCCTCAATAACATGAACACTGAAGCATCACTTAATAATCAACGCTTCTTAACCGCTCTTCTTAACCACCCTTTTTCTTAACCGCTCTGCTTAACCCCCCTTCTTAGCCCCCCCTGTTTAACCACTTTTTGGTAGAATCAAGATCGCACTCTGCCTGCCAAATGTAATTACTGCTTTGAGGTGACTCGGCATGCACCACACCACACCTCATGGGGACATATCCTACTTCAGAGTTCTTTTCTGTACAAGTACAGTGGAAGAATTTTTAACTCTTCCGATGCATTGAAATAAAACTAAACCAAAGCGCGTATTGGTGAACAGGGTTGGCTACGTCAATATTGAGTGATAAACAATTGTCTAGGAACATTGATTCGGTTGAAATCACACTTTTTACGTCTAACATGTCAAAAGCTCGTCTTGTGGGTGCATAGAATAAAGCTCAAGATGGGATTCTATGCGCAAATCAAGAAAATAAGATAGTAAATAGGTTCTGTGCATGTCTTAGCTTCCTTGATATCGACGTATGGTCATCGAGTACTGGTCCCTGGCACCACGGAGAGGTGCTGCACGCCGCCAGGGGGAGCACAAAATTTACCTCACGGGGCTCATGGCAGTGAGGGAGGGCAGGAAGCCTGCTCCTACTCTCCGAACGTGGGCGCGTAGGGCTTTTTTATCTGTTCCCACTACGAGACTCGATAAGTACCATTAACGCAACCCCAGCCTCGTGGAAATGCTATAGTACGGACGCGCACTCAATATGATGATGTAATCAAAATTATGAGGTAAATAAGATCAGACGCGGCAACCTTTGCCATTTGTACGTACATTGTATTGAATGATTTTCACAGTGGTCAGCCAAGTTCGTGATGGGTGGATCCCGGACCGATAGATATCCATTGATTAAAAGTCGGGCATGTGAATCAAACGTTAGACTGCCCTCATAAACATCTTCGATGATCTAAGATGACCTGTTCGAATGGTTATCTCGAGGTCAACTTGCTACAACAATTTTGCGTGTTTTCTTGAATTAAATAGTATATTAATGGTGTATTGCCCCGATTCCCCCTGCAACGAGACCTGAACGTGTGTTGATTCGGCCTTTACCTAAACTGGCTAATGCGAACAAAAAAAGGAACAGCCCATGAGGATTATCCTGTACTGCCCTTTTGGTCTCCAATTTTCATTGTTATCTATTTTTGATTTTTCCCCTTTTTCTTTTTTGCCGCGCCTGGCCCCTTCAGTGCCTGCAGTAACGCGAATCCACCACGCGCATGAAATGGTGCATTCTTCCACCCACGTTCCTCTCTTTCCCCGACCTCCTCCTCGTCCTCCCTATTCTGAACTTTCCTGAACGTTCGTTAAAATTTGTCACGTTCTTTCAATGTCGTACGCGCGAATTCTACGGTCCAGTCGTCAACTAGGTGGTTACGAAGCACAATTCGCAAGCTTGATGCCTCCAGAGGAAGAGCAAAAACCAACAAGAATAGCATCGTCTCGCCTCAAAGGAAATCCTGATCTACAGTACGTCCCGAAACTGGTGCAACCGTTTACACTCTTTAAGTGATTATTTAGTCCCACTGCCAAGAAACGCTAGTCCATATTGGGAGTTATTCCGATAGTTGTATGGGTATTTCCTCGTAAGTAAATTACATAATAATCTCAAGTATGTATTAGCTTGTAACTTCAATAGATGTGGATCAGAAATGTCGGGACGGGCCGAGACGCGAACCCCTGAACCGCCCGACCGCGACGAACACGAAAAGTCACCGCCACGATTATTGAGACCGAGACGCACCACCAGACCGCGTAACAACTATGGCCAAGAGCAAGAAACCGACATCCAGCAGAGAAATGCGCGCTTCCAGCAGAAGAAGAGAACCCGGGGCAAGCCAGTAGCCCAACGTGAAGCGGTGACTTCGGACGACGCGTCGACTGAGAGCGATGACACGAACGCCGCCAATCTTGTGAAAGAGCTTGTGAAACTTAGGAGAGACATCAAACGGCGAGATGATTCGCATAGAGAGGAGATGCAGAAAGTGCAAGAAGAATTGCAGAAAGTCAAGGAAGAATTTAGCGCCGCCCTTGCAGAGGTTCAACAGGAGCTGCAGACCTTGGCAGAGAGACCCCTTCCCGAACCATGCGCGCAGAACGGCCACGATGAGATCCTTCGCGAAATCCAATCCTTACGCGAAGAAATCAGCACCCCCGCTCCCGCAAGCTCCCCGTCCTATGCAGATGTCGCCCGTACCCCCCCACTCAGTCACCCGAGCAACATACGGACTCTTTCAACGTCGAACACTACACCAACCACTTTCACCGACACGCTGTACTGCACGATAGACACCTCGAAGATGACCGAAAGCGAAAGTGAGAAGGCATCCGCGGGTTCAATCAGGGCCACAATCGAGACAGAGATCCGGAAGATGGATGATCACACTCACTGGCGCTGCCGCGCGGTCACTGTAAGTCCAAGAGATACCAACCGGATCAGAATCGCGTGTCGCGATGAAGCCGAACACCAGCTAGTGAAGAAAGTGGCGGAAGCAAAGATCGGTGCGGGAGCTCGGGTGCTTCGGGACGAGCTCTACCCGATCAAGGTCGACAGCGTCAAGAGGACCGCAGTACTGGATGAGAACGATGAAATTCTGACAGGAGCGGCGGCAGCCCTGGGTGAGGAGAACGAAACTACTGTCGCCAAAATGACGTGGCTGAGCAGCAAGGAAACCACAAAGCCCTATGGATCGATGGTCGTGTACCTAACCAAAGGGACTGATGCACGGAGGCTCCTGGCCGATGGATACTTCCATGTCGGAGGAGAATCCGGGACAACTAGCGTTTTTGAGTATCGACCACGACCGGTGCAATGCTACAACTGCCAGGAGATTGGTCACAAGGCATTCCAATGCAAGAAGATCCAGAAGTGCGCAAAATGCGCGACGGAGGGCCATCACCACAGTCGCTGTGATCACACGGTTCCAAAGTGCGTTCCATGCGGTGGACCACACGAATCGTATAGCAAGAACTGCCGGAAACTCTACCCGTCACGTCATGAATAGAACACTCCGGATAATCCAGCTGAATGTGAGGAAACAGGGAGCAGTGCATGAAAGCCTAATGAACGACGAAGATACTCAAAACGCAGTGGCGTTGGCGATCCAGGAACCCCAGGCGAGGAGGATTCAAGGCCGGCTCTTGACCACCCCGATGGGACATCACAAATGGACCAAGATCGTGCCCTCCACCTGGAGGGAAGGGAGATGGGCAATCCGAAGCATGCTTTGGGTCAATAGGGATGTGGAAGAGGAGCAAGTGCGGATCGAGTCGCCAGATCTGACAGCGGCCGTGATTCGGCTTCCCGAACGACTGGTCTTTATAGCATCAGTTTACGTGGAAGGAGGGGAGGCCTCTGCGTTGAGCGACGCATGCGATCGCCTGAGAAAGGCTATCACAAAAGTACGGCGAGATACAGGGACAGTGGTGGAGATCATGATCACGGGAGATTTTAACCGCCATGATCAACTTTGGGGAGGGGACGAGGTGTCCTTGAGTAGGCAAGGCGAAGCGGATCCGATCATTGACCTCATGAACGAATTTGCACTCAGCAGCCTGCTCAAGCGAGGCACCAAGACATGGCACGGCGGAGGACAGAGTGGGGACTGCGAGTCGACCATCGACCTTGTCCTGGCCTCGGAAAACTTGACGGACTCCATGACTAAGTGTGCAATACCTGAGACTGACCACGGCTCGGACCACGGCGCCATTGAGACTGTATTTGACGCCCCGTGGCCGATCCCAAAGTACCAGGAACGGCTTCTACTGAAGAACGCGCCATGGAACGAGATTAATGCTAGAATCGCGAGCACCCTGGCCGCCACTCCATCGGAAGGCACAGTACAGCAGAAAACCGATCGACTGATGTCTGCGGTCTCGGACGCGGTGCACAATTTAACTCCGAGAGCGAAGCCGTCGCCACACGCGAAGCGGTGGTGGACAACTGACCTGACACAACTGCGTCATATATATACGTACTGGCGAAATCACGCTCGCTCGGAGCGACGGGCGGGGCGGAAAGTACCTCGGCTCGAAAAGACGGCTCAGGATGCGGCGAAACAATACCATGATGCCATCCGTAAACAAAAGAAGAAGCACTGGAATGAGTTTCTCGCAGACAACGACAACATATGGAAAGCAGCGAAGTATCTAAAGTCCGGGGAGGATGCGGCGTTTGGGAAAATACCGCAGCTCGTCAGAGCAGATGGGACTACCACCGCTGACCATATGGAGCAAGCAGAGGAGTTGCTATCCAAATTCTTCCCGCCCCTGCCGGACAACATTGAAGATGAAGGGACCAGACCACAAAGAGAGCCAGTGGAGATGCCGTCCATCACCCTGGAGGAGGTAGAGCGACAGCTTCTTGCAGCGAAATCGTGGAAGGCGCCGGGAGAGGACGGCCTGCCGGCGATAGTTTGGAAGATGACGTGGCCCACGGTCAAGTACAGGGTCCTTGAACTATTCCAGGCGTCGCTGGCAGAAGGCTCGTTGCCAAGACAGTGGAAACACGCGAAGATCATACCGCTCAAAAAACCGAATAAAGAAAATTACACCATTGCAAAAGCATGGAGACCGATCTCACTCCTAGCGACACTGGGCAAGATACTGGAATCAGTAGTTGCAGAAAGGATCTCACACGCGGTGGAGACCCACGGCTTGCTCCCGACCAGCCACTTCGGAGCCCGGAAACAGCGGTCCGCGGAGCAAGCACTCTTGCTCTTGCAAGAACAGATCTACACGGCGTGGCGGGGCCGACGGGTGTTGAGCCTGATCAGCTTCGATGTCAAAGGAGCCTATAACGGAGTGTACAAAGAACGATTGCTCCAAAGGATGAAAGCACGAGGCATACCGGAGGGTCTGCTCCGGTGGGTTGAGGCGTTCTGCTCGGAACGAACGGCGAACATCCAGATCAATGGGCAATTGTCGGAGGTCCAAAGCCTGCCACAGGCTGGGCTACCGCAGGGCTCGCCCCTGTCCCCGATCCTATTTCTCTTCTTCAACGCAGACCTCGTGCAAAGACAGATCGACAGCCAGGGAGGAGCAGTCGCTTTCGTGGATGATTTCACCGCATGGGTGACCGGGTCAACCGCGCAGAGTAACCGGGAAGGAATTGAAGCAATCATCAATGAAGCGCTCGACTGGGAAAGGAGAAGCGGAGCGACCTTTGAAGCTGAAAAGACAGCTATCATACACTTTGCTCCCAAGACGCGTAAATCGGACCACGATCCGTTTACCATCAAGGGACAGACGGTTGTACCCCAAGACCACGTCAAGATCCTGGGCTTATTAATGGACACGAGACTCAAGTACAAGATACATATTGCGAGGGCCGCTTCCAAGGGCCTAGAAGCAGCGATGGAGCTTCGGCGACTTCGGGGCCTAACCCCAGCATCAGCGCGGCAGCTATTCACCTCGACGGTGGCGCCGGTCGTGGACTACGCCTCCAATGTCTGGATGCACGCGTGCAAGGATAAAGCCATGGGACCGATTAACCGAGTCCAAAGAGTAGGAGCACAAGCTATTGTGGGGACATTTCTCACGGTCGCGACCAGCGTAGCAGAGGCGGAGGCCCACATTGCCACTGCGCAGCATCGATTCTGGAGACGGGCCGTGAAGATGTGGACGGACATACACACTCTACCGGAAACCAATCCTCTCCGCAGAATGACAGATCGGATCCGGAAGTTCAGAAGATACCACCGCTCGCCGTTGTATCAGGTAGCCGATGCGCTCAAGCATATCGACATGGAAACACTGGAAACGATTAACCCATTTACGTTAGCCCCGTGGGAGGAACGCATGCAGACCGATATTGATCAACCGCAGGATTTCCAGACCACAGCAGGCGTGTACATGCAGATCGCGGTCAGCAGCTCGGCTCGGAACGAGCTGGTCGGATTCGGGGTGGCGATCGAGAAACAGCCACCCCGGTATCGAAAACTGAAACTGAAGACCCTTTCCGTCACATTGGGTGCAAGAGCAGAGCAAAATCCGTTCTCTGCGGAGCTAGCAGCGATGGCACATGCATTGAACATGGTAGTTGGACTGAAAGATTACCGGATTACACTGCTCACGAGCAACAAAGCGGCGGCTCTGACACTAAGGAATCCTCGACAACAATCAGGTCAGGAATTCGTCTACCAACTGTACAAGTTGATGAGAAAACTGAGGAGAAACGGAAACCAGATCAATGTCCGGTGGATCTCAACGAGTGAAGACAATAAACTGCGGGGTCTGGCCAAGGAACAGGCCAGAGCCGCGACACAAGAAGATGCTGTCCCGCAAAAACAGGTCCCAAGGATGAAGTCAACAACACTCAATATTGCACGGTCCCAAGCAGTCCCCAGCAATGACCTGCCAGCGAATATAAGGAGACACGCAAAACGAGTTGATGCAGCACTCCCAGGCAAACACACCCGGCAGCTGTATGACCGATTATCGTGGAAAGAAGCGAGCGTGCTGGCTCAACTCCGAACCGGCATGGCAAGACTCAATGGATATCTATATCGAATCAAAGTAGCAGACACGGACCAGTGTGCGTGTGGACAAGCGATAGAGACCGTGGAGCACTTCCTATTTCGATGTCAAAAATGGACGGCGCACCGGACGGAACTACTACAATGTACTAACACCCACCGAGGAAATATATCCTTCTTCCTAGGAGGAAAGTCGCCTTCCGATGATCAGAAGTGGACGCCGAACTTAGAGGCGGTACGGGCCTCAATACGATTCGCCATCGCCACGGGCCGACTCGAGGCCACCTAACCATGCCGACGAACATAAATCACCCCCCCTATTGCCAATCTAACCCACCAACCACCTCGTGTTACAGATGGTAGACGCGCTTCAACTGCCGAAAATAGGATGTTGAACACTTGGAGAAGCGCCTTCAAGCCAGCCTACTAACAAAATTACTAACCCACGAGGATCCGCTGCGATACGGACCACTGAGATGACATATATTGCAAGGCTTTATGTATGGGCTCTGAGGAGACACAGTACTATATATATTATGACATGTATAGTAGATCAGAGATAGTTGCCCTTTCGGCTTAGCCGCCGGGCGTTAATAAATTGTGTGTGTGTGTATGACCTAGTAGCGGCAGTAGAGCCCAACTAGATCTTAAAAGCCAAAAGTGACGAAGCCCACTGTAGTGAGCGTTCTATAATGCATAGTTGGAGAGAGTGATGAATTGTGAGGAAGTGATAAATTGGGAGGGAGTGATGAATTGAAAGAGAGTTTTAACATCAGGACTACGGACTGCGTGTCGGGATGCGTGGCAGATCGGTCTCCATATATTGGTTTGTGTCCAGCCCCAGGAAGTACAGTACAACGCTCGTTACTACTTCTTTGTGCAAAGCTCAACGAGAGAACCGAAAGAAATTATATCCCATCATGGCCGATGGTGCGCTCCCCAATCTCTACCGGCATTGTTCTGGCAATAATGACGACGACAACACCTCGCTCCCCTCGACAGAAAAAGACCCCGACAAACCCCCACTAGTCGTCAGTGAGATTGGCTGTGATCTATGGAACTATTTGCTGTTCACCATCTATTGCTGACTATTTGTTGACCGTTTGTTGTGGACCGTTTGTTGTTGACAGTTTGTTGTTGACCGTTTGTTGTTGACCGTTTGTTGTTGACCGTTTGTTGTTGACCGTTTGTTGTTGACCGTTTGTTGTTGACCGTTTGTTGTTGACCGTTTGTTGTTGACCGTTTGTTGTTGACCGTTTGTTGTTGACCGTTTGTTGTTGACCGTTTGTTGTTGACCGTTTGTTGTTGACCGTTTGTTGTTGACCGTTTGTTGTTGACCGTTTGTTGTTGACCGTTTGTTGTTGACCGTTTGTTGTTGACCGTTTGTTGTTGACTGTTTGTCGTTGACCGTACATTGATTCTTCTCTCATTGATGACCGCCGTTACGTTTTTGACCATACCTTTGCCCAGCGTTTCTTTGTTGAGCTTTCTCACTGGTCTCTTTTTACTGTTTAGTTGATATGCAGACTGAAAACGTGAAACTAGTGTTGCCTGCAACTCCGTCCGGTTCAGTTGTCTGCACGGAATGCCAGTTTGATGAGAGTTTGAAGAATCCCGTGGCAACGCGCCTAGCGATTCAAAGAAGCATCGGGGACAAATGTGGCTCAGCTCCGCTTCCAGCCATGAACGTTAGTTGGGACAGAAACTTGCACCAAGTAACAATGCGGAATTGGAAACACAGAATCAAGCAAATGAAAATGGAGTGTCCTTTTGAGTATTAGCCAGCTACTCTCGAGCCTAAGGGAGTCACAAATTAAGCCTCTACTGCAACGTATACATATTACTTGCTATCAGGTGGCGGGACATAACCCCAAGTCATGTGTTTGTTCTCTGTTCCAAATTCATTTTCATGTTTCCGCCGCACTTGGACAAACGGAGCATCTCCAACCGCTCGACATAAAAGCGAGTACGGCTGTGCGAAAAACAGTGACCAATAAGCACTTATAGCGCACACCTACGCTACTCAGATCTCCCTCGCTCAATTTTGTATAGTTTTACAGTAACATTCGTGATGACGATGCTTTTTTGGCGTTGCGAATTGGGCCGCTCCAGATCCTCCCATGCACGACGGGATATTCGCAACTGTAATTTCCTCACAACTCCATGCGTTGAATTTTGCTAAAGTGCCCCAGGAAGCTTTGGCTCCGCTATCATTCAATGCCCGGGAAACACCGAATTGCGCGGGTGAAGCGATGCTTGGACGGGATTTACGCTTGCACATCCTTGATTGGACAAAATATGCCAACCGTGTCGTTGCTCGCAGCTTTCGTCCCAATTGCATACTTGACAGTCAGGAGCTGTTAGACATCTCTGCTACCAACGGCTGAGCAAGATGTCATCCAGCCAACTACAACGCCTACCATATTGGCGTTTCATACACCAATGAAATTTTGTAGTTAGGGCGAGAGAAGCCTTTTGACTAGTTCTAGTAATTCGACAGGTAATCCGCACAATGCCAAAGTCACATATTACCACTTCATGTGGGTTGTTAATAGTATATCCTATGACTAAAATATACACACGAAGATTGAAAAGGTCAGAAACCAGACTTCAGGTTGTCGTACTTAGAGGCAGGGTAGCTCAGCTGGTTCTCGCTCTTGTCTAGAGCTCCGGTACCTCCAAGGGTATTTACCACCTACAAAGCTCGAAGTTAGTATGATCAAATGTGGAATATGAATGAAACATACCATGGTGATCAAACTGTCATCACCTTGCTTGTCACCACTGAGCTCCCACCACATACCACCACCAAGACCCTTGGACTTGATGTATTCACCCTTCTTACGCGCAACCTCAGGGGTATCATAACTGATGAACAAACGTGAGCCCGAATTGTAGCAGTAGCTAGCAGCTTCCTGGTCCAGATTTGTGACCGCACAGCCGGGCTGAGGCAAAGCCTTGTAGTCCCACACACCATTTGCCTAGCTACCATCACCGTTGTAAGACTGGCCAGGACCGTTGGTGTCGGTGAAAGCTCGGCCGTACAGAGGCATACCTAGGACAATTTTGGAAGAGGCCACTCCTTGCGAGGTGTAATAGTTGATCGCTTGGTCGGTGTTCAATGGAGTGCTGGCTATGTTGCTGTTGGATGCGTGGAGGTTGGCATCATGGCCGGCAACGTTGTCCCAGCTTCCGGTATAATCGTAGGCCATCAAGTTCCAAAAGTCAAGGTACTGATTCATCTGGGCAAGATGCTCTCTCTGGTAGTTGGCAGGGCCTAGAATTTGGGTTGGCATAACTATAGGTTTTGAAAGAAACGACACGTACCAGCAGGGGATGCAGTGGTGAGCAAGAAATGATAGCCATCTGCGTTGGCAGAGCTGTACAAATCCAAGGCCTGAAAAATA